AGGAATATCCATGGAAGCCCAAAAAAAAAAAAGGAAAATTGGATAAGTTAAAAATTGATTGTAACATTGGATACCTATTCTTGTACAATAAATAGCAGATTCCCCACAGATACAAAAAGGATAGGTAGAAGTACAATGTAAAGTATTGTATTCAATGAACAAATAAATGGCAGGAGAGTGAACTAGAGGAGATGCTACCACTGAAAATTGCATCAAATAAAGGAAACAAGAATCACCACCAACAAAGGCAACTCTATGTACTTTAATTAATCAATCTAATTCACTAAGCAAGACAGATATGCTCGCAATGTGAATAGTGCAAACATGACATGATATCATGACAAGTTGTGGCACACCACATTTATGTGCTATGCCAAAATTGAGAGAGGGCACACTTTTCCTTTTCTCGTACGTGGCATAATGGCCACAACTTTTGGCTGTTTTGGAACATTATTTATTTTTTAAAAGATTTACTTTTATTAATGAAAAAAGTTATTTATAGAAATTTAAAAATTAAAATTGCATTGAATTAGATTTTGAAATTATGTTTTTTTCAAAAGGATTTGAAAAATTATCTTGTAAGCAGTTTGTGTTGATTGGAAATACGCAAGTTTAAAAGTTTTTGATATTCTGAAAAATTATATTAGTATAGTGACTTTGACTAATGGACAGAAGTACATATCTTTTCTTGATTAGAAGCTACACAAATTTAGAGAAAATACTGAAAATTGCATCAACTATTTGTTGTATCTTCCAAGATCTGATTTTGGCTCTGCTTCCTTTAGGTTTTCAAAGACAAACAAGATAGTGAAATAACACACTCATTCAATCATCATTTCGCAACAAAAACAGCAGATTCAAACGAATAAGGAAAAAACAGCAGAGTCAATATTGCTCTGCCTGGTCCAGATCCTGTACATTATTTCGAAATTCCAGAGTCAGTAAAATTGAGAGAGCAGAGAGAGTTAAATTTGGGAAAGGGGACTTTTTCAAGGTCATTCTATCTTTAATAGAGTTGTCTAAGAGGAAATTGTTAACTATTTTGGCCAAGGGCCCTTTTGTAATGTTTTGCTTCTTTTATTTTGTACAGCTATTTTACCTGGGGCACCCATTGGTGCCCTTTTATGTTATTTTATGCTTTTTCCTCCCAGAGAAAGAATTGAGAAGGGGAGAGAAGATGTGGAAAACCAGACAGTGGGGGGGGGGGGGGTTATATTTCTATGTTCTATTAATTTCTCCAACTATCTAATTTTTAGTTTTATGTCTTTTTTTTATTTAGGCATCATTTTTCCTTTTAGTAAAAACTATATAATGTGGAAAAATAAATGCTAACTGTCTCATCAATGCCATGTGGCACAATTTTAACAAACTTAAAAATGAATGCAATTGAATTACTACACTGAATTTAATTATGTAACTTAGGTACTCAATTGGATGAGTAAAAAATTACACCAAAAATTGCAAAATTGAGCAAAGGTCACTGAGCTCTCGTAGCCTTTTGGATTTACTGGCTTCAAAACAATATAGTTAACCTCTTAAAGAGAATTATATAAACCTATATCAAAACTGTAGAAGCATTTTCCTAAAAATTATTATTATATTAAACAAATATCATATAAAATAGTGATGTTTCTAAAAAGAAACATCATAACCTAGTGAAAAGTGAGCCTCAAAGGAAAAAGTACCACTCAGATGCCATAATACAAAAATCCATAGGAGGGAGCAATAAATATAGAAAAAGAACATTCAAAAGGGTATTATAATTTGGGATCATTCCCGTTCTCCCTAATAAACCATAATATTAAAATCCATATCGAAGAACCGCTCAGATGCCAAAATTTTACACATCAGTCCATCCTTAAGAACCTCAAAGTTGATGATTAGTAGAGCTAATACTTTATGAACCCCAAAATTCAAAATAGCTTTCCATAACTTCATAACAGGAATGCGAACATTCTTATCTAAAAAGTAACTTCCTTTTGAACAGCTGCATCTCACAGTACTCATTCTCTCCTCCCCCCCGCCCTGCGGGACACTGGTTGATGCCTTGTTCTAAGACAACCAGAAGCAATCATTGAGGCTCTAAGAGAAACATATGACAGATACTCGTAATAAATATATCATTCTGGAAGCAATATGGGGACCTCTCTTTCAAGCTTCTATCCTTGCATCTTGGTCTTAAAAGCTCCATGACAAGGATCATCTTCCATTCAACATCTGCCTATAACAGTGGTCAGACAAAGTTTTGACCACCAGGGTGAGTATTTTTCAAAGAAATTTTCAGAGAAGGTTCCACTGTCAGTCTAACCTTTAAATACCATGGTCTTATCGCATATAATCTTGGCATTAAAATATCATAATTTCAGCCATAATAAATCATGTGTAGCTTTACACACAAAATGCGTAATAGACCTCCATGATTCCCTAACATGACATAATCTATTCATTCTTAATTTTTCATCTACCATCCGACTCTTCAACACTGAAAAACGGGAGAAGAGAAGAATTTCATGTATTGCTAACGAATTCTTTATCTAAGAAATGCTCACTACGTGAGACAAAACGTACGCATTGCCCTAAATTTGGCAGAAATGCATATTCCAGCTATGACACTATTAACAGAAGAAGACTTCTAACCCTCATTGTATCCCGCAAGAAAATCAAGAAGGCCAATAGATCAGAACAATCAGCTCAAAATTCACAGAACAAAAGAAGTGAAATATCAACATGAAACTTACTCCATTCACGCCTCCAAAACTGGAAATTAAAATACTATTTCATAGCGTAACATCAATAGAAGTGATTTGTTAATGGAGTAAACATCAGCCACGGACGTTTCTCTATACTTCTTAGTTGTGGAAAAGAGAAGCGTACCGTAATCAGTACGGGGTCGTTTAAGTGCGCTAGAGGGTTGCAGATGACGAGAAGGAAGCTGTTGCCGATTCCAGTAACCATCCGCCATGGTCGTATCTCTATATTTCTTGGTGTACAGGTTTTTCTGAAGAGGACAGCTGGATTTCCAAAATTGGGGTTGCAAAAACCCTGTGAAAGAGCGCAGTGTGGATGGATTCCCGGAAATTGATAAAACCGAGTCGTCTGATTCGTACTCTGCGCTGTTTTCTCTATTCGTTTTTGTCCGGAGGCTGTGCTCCGAACCCCACACTTCCTCCCGTTATATGGTGAGTTTCGTAGCGGGTCGCGAGTCCAAAAAAAAAGCTCAGGGAGGCTTTCTGACGCGGCACGGCTCATCTTTATTTTCACGTTCGACCAACTGTATGATGCCACGTTTGATCTAAAAACCCGATCATACTACGCTAATAATAATAATAATACAAGGATAAACTGTGAGTCTGTGACTGCCATTAAAAAACACTGTGCTTTAAAAGTGATGAAGCAAAAGAAAATTATGAATCTTCTCCTGAAAAATTATTTTAAAATTTCTTTGAACTTTTTATTAAATAATAAAATTCTAAAATTAAAATCTCCACATTTAATCAGCCAATTACTTGATATATTTTACTAATTAGATTTAATTTAATTGAAATATTTTTTTTAAGGTTTGTAAAATTAAGTAGGATTAAAAAAATTAGAGTAGTGTAATTATGAACGCAGTTGCCTTGGAAATGTCTTCTCACATCTTTTCAATCCCAGGCGATTTGATGCTACTTTTCATAAATAAATAAATAAATATTAATAATAAAATCTTCTTTTCTTTTCTTTTTGTTTTCTCCTCTTTGACTCCCTCTGTACTTTTTTTTTTTTTTACACGGGTGACTTGCTTTGCCTCCGATTCTCTCTCCTCTTTCAGATTTCACATTCTCTCACCTCCTCCTCCTGTTTACTTCGCCTCCGGTTCGTCCGGTTCTTCGGCGTCCTTTCCTGTCGGGATTTTTTTGTCAGACTGCATACACTCTCCGTCGCCACACGACCTCTTCCATCCGCGGGGAAATTGCGTTTGGACAAAGTCAAAGAACAACTCTTCTTAGTCAAAACACTGCTTTTAACGTTTTCAGCTGCGATCACTTGGGCTTTCACTGTGATTCTTCAACGGAGTAGCTAGGGTTTCGGTTTTCGAGGGGAGTTGCAGATCTGCGTTGTTTGCCGAGGTAAAGGAGCAGTTTCGTTTTTGGTAAGGAATTTCTTTTCTTTGGTGTGAGGATTGGAGTCTTAGGTTATGGTGGTGATGATGGGGATTTGAGTGCTGAGGTGGATGGTTCGCGTAGGGACCAAGTGTTGTTTGCCGAGTATATGATGAACGGAGCTCCAGAGAGCGATCGGAGAGGGCGGTGGAGTTTTGGTAAATATTTCACATGGAATGGCAGATCTTGTTAGCTACGGTAATGCCGACCGTGACATTGAGCAGGTTCATCTCTCTCTCCTCTCTTGATACATTTCGTCCCATGAGCATATGCATTTAAATTGCAACCACGTTGACATTTTCTTTTACCAAACAGTCTATTTATTATTTCTTCTCCGCTTTGTTTTTTCATCATTTTCCGTGTAGATAGTTGTTTGATTATCGGTGAAGAAGTAAATAATGGAAATTTTAATGTCAAATTTTGGTTTTGATCAGTCTGTCTGAAAGGGAGCATTAGTTTGTAGTGATTATGTTTCTGTGATGGTATTGTTCCTTTGGCAATCAAGATTTCAACACTTAAGTTTCGGGGTGTTTTATTGGGGTTCCTTTTGGAAAAGTGTAAGGTTCTTTTCCCCCAAAATTTGCTGATAAATTACTGGTTCACCTGGTGGTCGTTGTGAAGCCTACTATGTCTCTCAGATGGGTCACGGTTTGAACTATCTGTATTCTGTCCATTTTGCAGCTGTTGAAAATAGGCTGGCATTTAGGGAAGTAATAATAGCTCAAACCAAGCATTCCACGTTTTGATGGTAGGCACTATTCTTGTAATTCGAAGAGGATGCTGTGTTGGTCATCCAATCATCTTTTTAAAAATAAATTTGGTTAAGACTTTAGTGCAGTTATACGTTAAAATGGTTAACTTAGTCTGTTAGGGTACTTGAAAAACGAGAATAGCATGGGAAGCATGAGCCAATTTCTCCTAGGAACGTTTCCTTGTTATTGAAAATTTGTTCAGATACCGCATCTAAGGGAATATCTACTTTTCCACTGACCTGGAACTGGGATTTACTTTTCCACTGACCTGGAACTGGGATTTCTTTGTTCATTACTATGAAGGCACTCTCCTCTGGAAGGATTCATAATTCTGTAATTTTTGTTGGCAGACAAATGTAGATTTATGGTACTTATTTGCACCTCATTAGAATTGATTTATTTGCTAGTGTTTTAAGCAATAATGAGAGTTAGAAAAATGATTAGTCATCTAAATTTATTTCCCTGAAAAATGGTAAAATGATTAAAAAGTATAAATATTGGTTGTTTAGCTAACAATTTGTTAGAATGTAATTTTAAAGTTTACTGGAGGGTAGTTTAGTCTTATGTTGATTAAACAAACTCTTTTCTATCGCTTAGTAGTTCTCCTCTTTTTTAAAAAAAAAAAAAAACAATCCACATAGTTTTTCTCATAAAATAAGCCAATCAAAACTATCTTAGCCAGAAAGTGACTTTGAGACTATCATAGATCATAAAGTTTCAATTGAAATTAGATTCTTCATAGTCTCTGTGACTTTTAAATTTTTGCATGTTCTTTTTTTTTTCTAATACTTAGTGATCTATTATCTTATTCTAAGGTTGTAAATGCTTCTTCCACCTTTTGCAGGCATTAATTGCTTTGAAGAAGGGTGCTCAACTTTTGAAATATGGTCGCAAGGGAAAGCCAAAATTTTGCCCGTTCAGACTTTCAAATGTTAGTTTCCTTTAAAAGCATTTTCACTCTGCTTTGAGCAGTGAGGTGCTCCAATTGCTGCTTTAGATATTCCTTTTTTTTTCAACAGAAATCTGAATGTGCTCCAACAGTGAATTCTAAGTTTATTACTTCTAGTTGTTTAGTTAGCAGCCCGTATGGCGTACAGAGAAAATATAGAATAATTATGAAAACTAGTAGTTATGCTTTATTTATTTCAAATGACTCTTGTGCATATTAGAGGGAAAAAAATTGCTTATTTTAAGAGAGACAAATGCGTGGAAGTTTTGACTTTCTCCTTATTTTATTTTGGGTTCAAGTGGATATCTATTGCGTAAATAATACCAAAAAATAGAGTATAGAAAGCTTATGTGAGAAGAATTTTTTTCAGTTAGGAAAAACATCTGTTATTACTAACAAAATAATGGAAAAAGGACTTTCAATTTCATATTCTTAAAGTGCACATCATGTCCTTTTTCAACCTGTCAAGAATCTACTTATAGTCTCTTTTCATTTACTCTCCAATCAACAGAAATTTTTGTCAGGTCTAGATTGGACTAAAGAGACATTCTTCTTTCCTGTGAAAAGAAGATGGAGAAAGCCATCTCTTTGTCCTTGTTACGAAGGAAGTGAGGTGCTACTTCATATTGATTTTTTGTTTTTTCCCTTTGCTTTGGTGTTCCACCGACTCTTTTAGGAGGTTTCAAGAGGATGTCTTATCCTCCTGTAA